TGCAGTTCCTACTATCTCTGTCTACAGAGTCAGTTTGGGTTGAGGTCAGGAACAAGAAAGGTGCAGTCACTTTGTTGGGGGTTTTTTACAGACCCCCTATTAGTTGCAGAGAAGCGGAGGAGTGGATTGGGAGGCAGATACTGAAAAGGTGCAGAAGTCACAGGGTTGTAGTCATGGGTGACTTCAACTTTCCAAATATTGATTGGAAACTTTTTAGTTGTAATAGTTTCGATGGAGCGGATTTTGTCCAGTGCGTTCAGGAAGGATTCCTGACACAGTATGTAGATAGGCCAACATGAGGAGAGGCCACTTTGGATTTGGTGCTTGGCAATGAACCGGGCCAAGTGTTAGACCTGTCGGTAGGAGAGCATTTTCGCGGTAGCGATCATTACACTGTTACTTTTACAATAGTCATGGAAAAGGATAAGTACATACAGCAGGGTAAGGTTTATAATTGGGGAAGGGTAATTACAATTCTGTTAGGCAAGAACTGGGTAACATAAAATGGGAACAAATGTTGTCAGGGAAGAGCACTATTGAAATGTGGAGATTGTTTAAGGAATGCATACTGTATGTGCTTGATATGTTTGTCCCTGGCAGGCAGGGAAGATGCAGTCGAGTGAGGGAGCCTTGGTTCTCAAGTGAGGTCGAACAACTGGTTAAAAGGAAGAAGGATGCTTATGTAAAGTTTAGGGAACAGGTAACGGAAAAGGCTCTGGAGGGATACAAGTTATCCAAGAAGGAGCTGAAGAAAGGGCCTAGGAGAGCTGTAAGGGGGTATGAGAAAACCTTGGCAGACAGGATCAAGGAAAACTCCAAGGCTTTTTTACACGTACGTGAGGAATAAGAGAATTACCAGAGAAAGGATAGGGCCAATCAAGGATTGTAAAGGGAATTTGTGCACGGAGCCTAAAGAGATAGGAGAGGTCCTTAATGAATACTTTTCTTCAGTATTCACAACTGAGAGGGACCTAGTTGTAGAGGAGGACAGTGTGAAACAGGCTGGTACGCTAGAGCAGATCGTTGTTAGTAAAGATGATGTGCTGGGAATTTTGAGGAAGTTGAAGATAGATAAGTCCCCTGGGCCTGATGGGATTTATCCAAGGATTCTATGGGAAGTGAGGGAAGAGATCGCAGGGCCTTTGACGATGATCTTTTCGTCCTCACTGTCCATGGGTACAGTGCCGGAAGATTGGAGAGGCGCAAACGTCATTCCCTGGTGAGAAAAAGGGAATAGGGATAACTCCGGAAATTACAGGCCAGTTAGTCTTACGTCAGTGGTGGGCAAATTATTGGAAGGGGCTCTGAGAGATAGGATTTATGATCACCTGGAAAGGCACAGATTGATTTGTGACAGTCAGCATGGATTTGTGAGGGGTAGATCATGCATCACAAAACCTTATTGAATTCTTTGAAGAGGTGACCAAACACGTGGATGAAGGTAGAGCAGTGGATGTGATATACGTGGATTGAAATAAGGCGTTTGATAAGGTTCCCCATGGTAGGCTCATGCAGAAGGTAAGGAGGCATGGGACAGGGGGAAATGTGGCAGATTGGAATTCAGAATTGGCTGACCCTTCGAAGACAAAGGGTGGTAGTTGACAGAAAATATTCAACATGGTGCTCAGTTATGAGTGGTGTAGCACAAAGATCTGTTCTGGGTGCTCTTCTATTTGTGATTTTTGTAAATGATTTGGATGAAGGAGTGGAAGGGTGGATTAGTACGTTCGCGGACGATATGAAGGTGGGTCACGTTGTGGACAGTGCAGAGGGCTGTTCTAGGTTACAAAGGGACATTGACAGGATGCAGAGCTGGGCTGAGAAGTGGCAGATGGAGTTTAACCCTGAAAAGTGTGAGGTGATTCATTTTGGAAGGACAAACTTGAAAGCAGAATACAGGGTTAACGGAAAGATGCTTGGCAGTGTGGAGGAGCAGAGGGATCTTGGGATTCATGTCCACAGTTCCCTGAAAGCTGCCACCCAGGTGGATAGAGTTGTTAAGAAGGCGTACGGTGTGTTAGCTTTCATTAATAGAGGGATTGAGTTCAAGAGCCGTGAAGTTATGCTCGAGCTATACAAAAGCCTGGTTTGGCCACATCTGGAGTATTGTGTCCAGTTCTGGTCGCCTCATTAAAGGAAAGATGTGGAAGCGTTGGAAAAGGTGCAGAGGAGATTTACCAGGATGTTGCCTGGTATGGAGGGAAGGTCTTATGAGGAAAGGTTGAGAGAGCTAGGGCTTTTCTCTTTAGAACGACTAAGGAGGAGAGGTGACTTTGTAGGTATACAAAATGACCAGAGGTTTGGATCGAGTGGACAGCAAGAGACTTTTTCCTAGGGTGGAGGTAGCTATTACGAGGGGGCATAGTTTTAAAGTGAGTGGAGGTAAATATAGGGGAGACGGTAGAGGTAGGTTCTTTACTCAGAGTGTGGTAGAGGCATGGAATCCATTGCCGGAGAGGGTAGTGGAGTCGGCCTCATTAGGGGCATTTAAGTGACTATTAGATAGGCATATGGATGATAGTATAAAAGGTAGGGGTGGAGGTTAGATAGACCTTAGGTTTACGGTAAAAGTTCGGCACAACATCGTGAGCCGAAGGGCCTGTACTGTGCTGCACTGTTCTATGTTCTATGAAGTGTAGAGAAGGGAGTGAAATAGGAAGGAATCACACATGCACAGATAGGTCTGCTGCCTGCTCCCACAAATGCAAACCTGCCCCAGTTCAAGTTGAGCCCAGGCACAGTTAAAGCAGATTGCGCAGGAGCTTAAGCGGGGCTCTGTCAGCAGAGGAACAAGTACAGGACGGAGAAGGCACAGACCACTCAGCAGCTCCTCCCTGACAGGCAATGGCCCCTGAAGCTTGTACGAGCTTAGGCCACAGCAAACATCCAGGCCTCCAGAGCCAGAGCCAATTTCCAGTTTCCTCCCTTAGCTTCAGCAACCTCAGTGTGCAAGGGTCACAATGGAGACCATGTCAAGGCTATAGCCCTAACATACCTGGTTGCCACTGAAATCCTGAGGCTGCTTGGCAACGTGACCCGGAACAAGAATACAACCAGCATTACTTCCTGCCACCTAGAGGTTGGCAACTACAACCATAAGGAGCGCAACAAGGCACTAGGATAATTCAGCATAGCCCAAGGTGGCATCCTACCCAATATCCAAGCCAGTGCTACCAAAGAAAACCAGTCTTCCCAAAAAGGAGAGCGAGGAGATTGGACAAGCTCGAGCAGCAATACAGGAGAGACATCTGAAATTAAAGGTGCAGCTCCTTACGAATTCTGTCTCCTGCCCCTGTTCTCCCCTAAACAAAATACAGGGGACAGACCTTCCTTGACTAATTTTTTGCCTTTGGCATTAAGTTTTCAGGGGCTTTTTGTTAAGGTTTCTATGGTAAATTTTCACCTGCCCCCATGCATTTTAAATCCTGCAAGACAAGTATACAAAGGAAAAGGAGTAAATGGTTGCGATGATTGAAAAAGATGAGGTGGCTCAAATACAGTATAAATGTTGATATGGTCTGGTTAGGCAAAACGGCCCGTTTCTGTGCCAGTAATCCTACGTGACCCTTTTGTAATTTACTTCATCAACCTCCATCATCCATTCATGTTCAAAGGAGCCAAGACACAATCGAGAACACCATGAATGCAAGAAAAGACAAATTAGAACATTTCCTAAATGCCAAGAGATTAGAAACTGTGCAGGAGAAACGAAATTGAATGTCTCAAGAAAATTTTTTTTCTGATAGTCACATCAGATACAAATGAAAAGACAAGAATTTTGCCTGTGCTGGTGCTTTACTGCAACAAAACAATTTAGTTACGTATCAGCTAATTAAAGTGCAAATTTAAGAGTTGAGCTAAAACTAGTGCAAATATCTGTGCAATCACAACATCAGTACTAATGGTACCTGATTTGGTCAATGCATGTCACTCTCACCTTGTGCTCTCTACGAGCCCGTTTCTGCTGCTGCTCTATTAGGTCAGAGGCAGATGCTGGTGGTGAGGCAGCTCTCATGTTACGGATCACTTTAATGCTGTCTTCGGGGAGTGGTGGAAGACCAAGTGCCTCACGTTTCTTAACTTTAAGAACCTGCAAGTCTTCAAAGCCTCCTAGCGACAGCTATTAAGGAGACAAGTATAGCACTGAATTAAGGTTCTAAAAAGGATGAACTATTATCATAACCGTAAAATGCTAACACAAACTTGTGTTAACATTCACTGATTTTGGAATTTTAATGTGGAGGTGCTGGTGTTGGACTGGGGTGGACAAAGTCACAAATTACTATGACACCAGGCTGTAGTTCAACAGATTTATTTGAAATCACAATCATCTTGCCATTATCTCTTTGCCTATATATTCTGTGCCTGTGCGCTTCCCTTCACCTGATGAAGGAGCAACACTCCGAAAGCTTGTGAGTTCAAATAAACCTGTTGGACTACAACCTGATGTTGTGAGACTTCTGACTTTGGAATTTTAAGCATGGAGAAAGGGAACACTTCACATACAACTGAGATAGTAAAGTGTTTGGTGTATTTTAATAACCTATGAATATTGACCCAAGTACTCGTTCAATAATCACTGGCAATTTGAAACCTTACTGAAGTGGTCATTCTTCATGCGTTTGCCAAAATAGGATGCTCAAGTTTCCAGGACAATACAAATGCCTCCAGTCCAGCACCCATCTGCTTGTCAGGTCAATGACAATCGATAGATAATAAAACAGGAACAAGAATCACAATAATATTGCACTGCAGCTCTGCGTCCATTACCAATATTATTGCCCTTGCTGGTTGAGGAAATGAATTCAAAGCAAATGTGGATAAAAATAAGTGCACATTTCTGACTTTATGCAATAGATTTTCCATCTAAACCACTGCTAAGGTTGCCAGTTTTTTCTTTGCAAACGTGAAGCACAAACAAACTTCTTTAAATGACAAGTACTAGTGATAAAAACAAACCTCCTATTTCATTAAAACTCACCAACACAGTTTTCCAAAGCAATAAGAGAACCTTCTTCATGGGGAAATGGGGAGCATGGCCACTGCAGAATTTGGTCACCATCCCAAACAGCATAACTGAAAATGGTTCATTGTTGTACAGGGATACACCTTGGAGAAAGAAAAAGGCAAAGCTATGGCTTTGTATAAAGGCAAATCTAAAACAAACACAATGCTGGAGAAACTCAATTGGTCTGGCAGCATCTGTGGAGAGAGAAACAGAGTTAACATTTTGAGTCCAGTATGACTCTTTATCAGAACTTTGAAGGGACTTTGTGGTCAGTTTTCACATGATCCATGACAAATGTACACCTTTCATTAGGCTGCTTTCCAGAAATCCAGACTTCAATGAGCTATAATTTCCTCCAACTAAACACTGGTTGCACATCATTTTTTATGACTTTGACTCGCAATATACGTACAATATGTCATGATTCCATTCTCAACACAGCCTCAGGCAGAACCAGATCTTTTGCAACTTTGACACTCTGTTCATACAAGAAACTTCTGATTACACCTACCTATATTGTCTCCAACATAAATATCACCTTCAAAACACTTCCCTCACAATACTGCCCCTACTCCACCTCTACAGGGGGCCAACCAGTGGAATATAAGTACATAAATAACTAAAACATTTTGCAACATGTTGAAGACTAATCAAACGTTAGTCTTGTTCATGAAGACCTAAGCACAAAAAAAACTCATGTAGATGTTAGAAAGCTTCAATATTTATTCTTAGAACAAAGCTGAGAATCTAGAGTAAAATTATGAAGTAAGGTTCATAAATATGACTCCTATCCCTGAGGTTATGACTCTGAGGAGTGACTCATCTGAGATGTACAAGAGAGAGAGAAATTATACTTTCTCGGGAGGGAACAAGTGGCCATAATCTTAAAATTAGTGGCAGACCATTCAAGAGTGAAATCAGACAGCACTTTTCCACAAAGGATATTGGAAGTCAAATTATTTTCCCTCAAAAGCCTGTTAACACTGGGGATTGTGTGAATTTTCAAGGCAGAAAGACATCATTTATTAGACAAATGGTATTAATGGATATACATCTAGGACAATTAAAATAAATTTCACAGACTCAGATGTTTATTTCTGTTCCTGTATTCTATCCCTGCATTACTTCCATCCAACAGCGACTGAAACTCTCATGATGGGCCTCGTCTCACTTAGTGTTTATTCAGCCTGAAGGGAGTGACAGCATATTTGTATAAAAGACATGAATCCTCAATCCTGATCCAAAAGGGGATTCTCTTATTCCACCCATTAGTTATTCTGTTTGTCAAAGCAATGGAGGACAGTCTAACTGAATTGTCAATGCAAAATACTCAAGACTTGGGGACCAAATACTCCACTGTGCTCAAAATGTCTACACAGACTCCAATTCATAACTCTGCATAATTTTCAGCATTTTCATTTTTTTCTGCATATTTTTGTGTATTTGCAAACAATCTTCTTGAAATTACACAAACTGATGCTTGTACTTAATAAGCATTCACAAGAATTTATGCAAATCTAAAACTAGGGCCATAAATGTAAGGTAGTCGCAAATAAATCAAATGAAAGATTCAGGAGAATTTTGTTTACCCAGAGTGATGAGAACACAGAACTCACCAGCACAAGGAATAATTGAAGCAAATTTAGTGCATTCATTTAAGGGAAGCTGGAATACACTGATTGCATTAGGGTAAGTATGATGGGAGAGGCTTCATGTAAAACACACACAGGCAATAACCATCCAGGATAAATGACCTACTCCTGTACTGTAAATTCTATGTCAATTATGAATTATTCAGGCTTGCTAACAATAGCACACATTAAGTAAATCCCAGAAGGGGTTTGCCCTATGAAGAGAAGGGAGGGAAAAACAGAGTGAGTAAGGGGAAATGTCATGTTAAATATTTCTCTCCCCTCATAGCTTGGAATATTTTATTGCGCTCAAAATGGAATTGATAACACATGGAAGCAAATAACTAGGAATATGAAATATCATACATCAAAAACAATTCACTTGTGTTTCCTTTTATTAGCAATAAATCTGACAGAACATATTGTCACACCTAGGTCTGTTCTGAAGGTCTCCCTCATTGCCCTCCACTCCAGATTATCCTCTTCTGTTTCCTGACGGATTGTCTCCACCATCAGGTACATTATGTTCAGTAGCACTCTGAGAAACAGGAATTTACAGTTAATAAAGGAATACCATGAATATATTAGACACGAGTTGACTAATACAGGGCTCATGATGCAGAGCAGGGTAAATACACTGACTCAACACTGGTAAACAGCAAGCAATATTAGTGCATTTATTGAATTTACAGCATAGCAAAAAGCCCTTTAGCCTATTCTTCATCAGTCAATAACAAGCCCTTAAGTGGGATTATTCCAATCCCATTTTCTAGCACTTGGCCCATAGCCTTGACTGCCTTAGCACTGCAAGTGCACATCTAAATACTAAATACTGAAAATAATTGTGAAAAGATCAATTGGTTTTCATCTTAAACTGTGATAACTTTGCCGCACAATTGTAGACATGAGCTCCTCACTCTTGGAGCTAGATTCCACAAATACAGAATCACAGGTATTTTATGGGAAGGGGAAACCATTTGTCCCATCGTGCCTGCACCAGCTCTTCAAATAAGCATCATTAACTTGTGCCAATCACTTGTTTTGCCCCCAATATCCCTGAACGTTCTTTTTATCCAAATAATTGTCCAATGCCCCCTTGACTGCCTGCAATAAACCTGCCTTCACCCTTCTAGGCTGTGCATTCCAAAAGCTATATACTCGCTGAGTAAAAAAGCTTTTTCACATCATCTACTGCTTCTTTTGCAAATCACTAAATCTATGCCCTCTCATTCTTGTTCTTTTTACAAGTGAGAACCATTTCTCCTTATCCACTCTAACCAGCTTGCTCACATATTTGAAAACCTGTATCAAATTTTCTTTTAACCAACTTCTCTCCAAGGAGAGCAGTCCTATGTTCTTTAATCTATGCACATAACTGAAATTTCTCATGTTGAAATTATTCTTGCAAATTACAACTGCAATAATGAGAATTATTTTCCAATCTTCACCATACGCAAGTGAGGTGCCAGACGAGTGGAGGAATGCAAATGTGGTTCTTTTGTTTAAAAAGGATACAAAGGAAATGCCAAATAATTATAGACCAGTAATTCTTACTTCATTGGTGAGCAAATTCTTAGAATCAACCCCAAAAGATTGGATAAACTGTCACTTAGAAAGGCATGGACTAGTCACGAATAGTCAGCATGGCTTTATTAAGGGAAGGTCATGCCCTACAAATTTGAATTCTTTGATGAAGTGACAAGGAGGATCGATGAGGGTAGCTCAGTAAATGCTGTCAAATGCCTTACTAAAATTCATGCAGACAAGATTCCCACATGGCAGACTGGTCAAAATAGTAAAAGCCCATGGGATACAGTGTAATGTGTTGAATTGGATCCAAAGTTGGCTTAGTAACAGAAAACGAAAAGCAACAGTCGATGACTCCTCTTGCGAAGGGAAAGCTATTTCAAGTGGTGTTCTGCAGGGCTCGGTGTTGAGACTCCTTCGTTTGTTTGAATGTGGGGGGTCACAATTGGGAAATTTGCACATGACACAAAAATTGTCTATGTCATGGATTCTGTACAGGATAGTTGTAAGCTCCAAAATGATACAGATGGCTTGGCGGAGTGGACAGTGAGTGAAAAAACTTCATGAAGACCGGTATCACATCATTAAGTCACCCTTTATTTACATTTCCATAGTACATGACACTGACCCAGTCAGCTCAGAGCCAAAGCCCCTGGAGTGAACAGAACCCCTGACACTCCTGTTTATATCTATCAGCCAGGACTCTCTGATTCAACCAAGTTAACAGCCCCAATCAGGGAACTCATTCTATAAGGTCAACCTGGCTGACCTCATTCCAATCACTACATTGCTCCCCCTAAGTCCTGGACATAAGCCCATTCTTCTCCCCTCAGCTTCGCCAAGTTTTCACACCAGGTCCAGTCCTCAGATTCTGCCTTGGATACTGGCAGCACGTACAGGACCATAGCCCGCTTCTTGCCCCCAGAGCGTCTCGGAAGAAATGTCTCTTCTTCTTCAGGCGGCAATGGTGTCGAGGCTGTGACATCTGCTGCGTCCATCTCGTCCTCAGAGGTTTCTTCAATGCTAGGTGGAGGGGGAGAACTCACGGGTTCTGACAACCTTACTGGATGTTCGGAGGGGCCGGGTATGTTTTGCTCCTGCCCCATTTGCGAGGTTGCAGCTTTCATGTAGTACATGTGCTTGATCAGGGCTACCTCTCCTACCCAAACTGTGTATGTCACAAGACCTGACCTCGTGTTGACCATGCCTCTTACCCACGCAGGGCCATTCCCGTGGTTTTGATGCCAAACTTCGTCCTCTGTCTCTCTCACTTAGAGGAGTCTTGTATCCAGCCTTGGCGTTCCTGATGCTGTGTCACTCTCCCCCCGCCACTCCGTCAGGTTTGGGAAGATTAGGTTCAACCTGGTGCAGAGTCTTCTTCCCATTAGCAACTCTGCTGCAGCTGTCCCTGTAGTTGTGTGAGGGGTGGTCCTAAAATCAGCAGGAACTGGGACAGTTTGATATCAAGTGAAGCTGTAGGCTGTTTCTTTAAGCCTGCCTTCAAAGTTTGGACTGCTCTTTCCGCCAGACCATTGAACAATGATTGGTATGGACCTGTCCTTACAGGCCGACTGCTATTCGACTTTAGGAAATGCTCAAATTCCCTGCTGGTAAACGTTCACCTGCTGCCTGTCCCAGTACCTCCAGGAGTCTGTGCATTGCAAAAGATGTTTCTCTTTGCTGGGCCACCTGGATACCATATGGGGAGGCACTGGACGTCAGCACCACGTGTTGCTTGTGATCATAATGTGCCAACACCTTAGATAGCTGCTTCTTCACTTCCCTAGATAAATGGTGACCTGGGTATACCTTGCAAAATGGTCTCCATTGTCTGCTGGAAAACATCACAGGCTAATGATACCCCACAAGGCAGTCTCATATATTGTTAGAAATTTTTATGGGCATTAATTGCAGCATACCTCTGGGAATCCTCATCTAGTTTCAATTGCAGGTATCCTTGGCTCATGTCTAGCTTCATGAAGGACAGAGCCTTCGCCAGTTTTGCATACAAGTCCTCTATGCGAGGAATTGGGTATTCATCCAGCTGCGAAAAGCCTTTTACCATTTGTTTAAAATCCCCACAAACATAACCAACACGTCGGACTTCAAAACCGGTATGAGTGATGCCACCCATTCCGTAAACTGTACAGGTTTGATGATTTATTTGCTTTCCAGCCTTGGCACCTTTGATAGTCTCCAGACCTTCCTGAAAAGCTCCGGGTTTTTAATTAGGACTTCACTGAGGCAGCCGTCTTCTAATCAAAAAACGTTGAGTCAATCAAGTTGAATCTTTCTCAACCGATTTCTCCCCTCCAAGCTTGGGCCCTAGTCTTTTACTATGATCAGTGGTAACTATGAATCAGCTGTTTCTCATAAGAGACCAGAACTGAAGTTGTACCTTTAATCTGTAGGGATCCTCCAGTATATGTTCTCAGTCTAGCCGACATCTTACACAAACTTAAGGATTGGAGTCCAGAGTGAATTTTGGTAAAGACTGGTTCTGCAATCACTGATAAAGCAGTGTCGGTATCAACCTTCAAATTGAACCAGGTGACCATTTAACCACACATTTATTTTGATTTGGATGTTGCTAAGCAATTTAACTGTTTCAAACCAGCTGTGGATGGACTTTCCAGGGTGTGCACTGTCCCAGATACTGTTATGAGATCTCTTAATCAATTCAGGCCTAGCGAGAGTCTTTTGCTGTCTCCGGTCTGCACACCACCAGCAACTACAATGGCCTGCCCATCCAGGTCTTCGAGAAAATTTTAACCATTTGGCTGAGGCTTGGTTTTGTTTTGGGGTTTTGCTGTGGCCTGATCTAGAGTCCCTCTGTTCAGGATATTTCCTGAGCGAGGCTATGCAATTGCCTTCTCTCAAGTAGTGTTGCCCCATGCTCAGTCGGCCTGGCAAGGGTGTCTACTTCCATCAGAATACCCCCTGATGAAGCTTTCTTGTGACAATTTCCTCCTCTACCATCATGGCCTGGGTAGCATCTTCTCCTTTGGAAAAGAGAGATACCAATTATTCATTTAACACCTAGCTGCACCCTCTGCCTCCAACTGTAAAACACTCTTTTTGGTCTCAATCAGTCCCAGTCCACCTTTTATCACTCTTATCATTTACCACGCCTATCAAAGACTTTATGTTAGCTGCCAGTATTTTCTCACCTGGACCATCTCCGATATCTCTCTCTCTTTCCTGGACCTCGCTGTTTCCATCTCTGGCAACCACCTGGAAACCGATATCCATTTCAAGCCTACCGACTCCCACAGCTACCTAGAATACACCTCCTCTCACCCACCTTCCTGCAAAAATGCCGTCCCCTATTCCCAATTCCTTCGCGTCTGCCGCATCTGCTCCCGAGATGAGGCATTCCACTCCCAGACATCCTCTATTTTCAAGGTCCGCAACTTCCCCTCCAGTGGTCGAAAACGCACTCGACCGTGTCTCTCGCATTTCCCGCAACTCATCCTTCACACCCCCTCCCTGCAATAACAACCAAAACAGAATCCCCCTCATCCTCACGTACCACCAACCTCCAGATCCAACGCATCATCCTCCGGCACTTCCGCCGTCTGCAATCTGACCCCACTACCAAAGACATTTTTCCCTCCCCACCCCTATGTGCCTTCCGGAGGGACCACTCTCTCCGTGACTCCCTTGTCCGCTCCACACTCCCCACCACCCCCGGCACCTTTCCCTGCAACCACAGGAAGTGCTACACCTGCCCCGACACTTCCCCCACCCTCACCCCCATCCCAGGCCCCAAGAAGACCTTCCACATCAAACAGATGTTCACCTGCACATCTGCTAATGTGGTATACTGTATCTGCTGTTCCTGATGTGGCCTCCTCTACATCGTGGAAACCAAGCAAAGGCTTTGGGATCGCTTTGTGGCACACCTACGCTCGGTTTGCAACAAACGACTGCACCTCCCTGTCGCAAACCATTTCAATTCCCCCTCCCACTCCTTGGACGACATGTCCATCCTGAGCCTCCTCCAGTGCCACAACGATGCCACCCGAAGGTTGCAGGAACAGCATCTCATATTTCGCTTGGAAACCCTGCAGCCTAATGGTATCAATGTGGACTTCACAAGCTTCAAAATCTAACCCCCTCCGACCACATCCCAAAACCAGCCCAGCTCATCCCTGTCTCCCTAACCTGTCCGTCCTTCCTCCCACCTCAAGTCCCACCCCCCCCCCCTCCCTACCAGCCTTACCCGCTTCCCTGTCCTGTCTGTCCTCCCTGGACTGACCTATCCCCACCCTAACTCCCCACCTACACTCACCTCCATCCCCGCCTCTATGACCTGTCTGTCTCCTCTCCACCTATGTTCTCCTTTATCCATCCTCCATCCGCCTTCCCCTCTCGCCCTATTTATTTCAGAATCCCCTTCCCCTCCCCTATTTCTGAAGAAGGGTCCAGACCCGAAACGTCAGCTTTCCTGCTCCTCTGATGCTGCTTGGCCTGCTGTGTTCATCCAGCTCTACATCTTGTTACCTCATTGAAGGTAGCTGTTTTTTCCAAACAACCTCTCATTCCAGTCAATCCTGACCAGTTCTGTTTTTGCTCCACTGAAGTCTGCTCTCTGCTAATTGATTTTTCTTATTCTGGGTAATTGTATGTCATTCTCCACCATTAACCTGAGCCCTACAATGCAATGATCACCATCTCCTGAATGCTCCCCACTGATACTAATTCAATTAGCGCGATTCAGTTTCAAGAACCAGGTCCACAGTGCATCTTTTCTCAGGGTGGAGAATATCTGAAATTCACTGCAGGAAAGATGACAACATTTAATAAGTATTTAGATGTTCACTTGAAATTTCAGAGCACACAAGGCTTTGGGCCAAACACTGAAAAACTGGACTATAATAACAAAGTTGGCTATAACTTGAACACTTTAGATGATTCAAAAGAAATGTCTGCAGATCACTATAGTATGAGCCTCGAGTGGATCCCACCATTTATGCTGTGATCTCCTCAGAGTACATTCTGAACATCATGCTCACTTCACGTCATCAAGAAATAAGGAAGACATTGAGCACTCAATCTACTGCATTAAAAACAAGAACAAAACTATGGAAATTTTATGATGTGTGTGTTGGGGAAATAGGTATAGGATTATTTTCCAAAGATATATGTAAGATGGCCAAGGGTCAGTTAGCTAAGTTGACTGGATGGCTGGCTTTCAATGCAGAATGGTGCCAACAGCATGGGTTAATTCCCACGTCAGCTTCTCAACCTCATCCCTCGCCTGAAGCACGGTGACCCTCAAGTTAAACTTTCTCTAGTGGTCTCTCTAATGAAAGATCAGCCTATGCTCTGCCAAGACTGATGACTTTGCCTACAAGCTGGAAAAACAAGCCCAAAAAATTCCCTCAAATTAAATCATGACAAAAGAAGAGATGCAGTTCAGGTCAATAAAAGGTACTTTCAAAACCAATCGCAAGGACTTTGCATAAGGCAAAAACCTTGCAAACATTGAAGAAATTATGACATGCCACAATGAAAGAGTTGACGGGCAAATTAACAAAATGCATTCAGTAAAGTTCTCTGCCCATCTTCCTTATTTTGTTGTGACCTACCTTAGGTCTGTACTGTCAGCCAAAGAGATTGCTGGCTTTCTCACTGCATTACTACATGCTGCACTGTTGCTGGAAGATAATATCAAGTGGTCAATAATGTGAACTCAACAGACTTAAACAATCGTTACTTTCAATATTAAGTGAAAATTGAATCATTTAGTAAATCTAAAACAATTAACCAGATGTTTCAGTTATCTTAATGTTTCAACAATGTACTTGGAATGATCATCAATAGGAGAAAAATATTGAGCAAACTATTAGGATTGAAGGCAGACAAGTCTCTAGGGCCTGATGGCCTACATCCTACCGTCTTAAAGGAAATGGTAGCAGAGATAGTGGATCCATTTGTTAGAATCATACAGCACGGAAACAGACCCCTTGGTCCAAATCGTTCATGTCGACCAGGCTTCCCAAACTGAACTAGTCCCAAATGCCTGCATTTGGCCCATATCCCTCTAAACCTTTCCTATCCAGGTATCTTGTAATATTCCAAAATTTCTTGGATGCAGAAAAGATTCCAGTGGATTGGAAAAATACTAACACAACAGACTTATTTAAAAAGAGAGGGAGCCAGAAAATAAGAAACTACAGACAAGTTTATTTAACATGTTGGGAAATTGGAAAAATCCGTTATTAAGGAAGTAATTATTAAAGACATTTGGAGAACCAGCAAGGTTTTATGATCCATAAATCCTGTTTGACTAATTTGCCAGAGGTTTTCAAAGATGAAACAATGTGGATAATGGGGATCCACTAGATGTAGTATATCTGGCCTTCAAGAGGCATTTATAAGGTGCTGTACAAAAGGTTAACACACAAGGTAAGATCAGATGGGGTCAGGGATAATTTATTAGCTTGGATAGAGTATTGGCTAAACTAATGAAAACGGACAGTCAGGATAAATGGATCTTTGGCAAGATGTGGGGTGCCATAGGGTTAAGTCTTTGGTAGCCAACTATTCACAATCTCTGTCAGTGACTTGGATGTGGTGATAGAAAGTACTATAGCCACTAAGATAGGTGGGAAAGAAAGTTATAGAGTCATAGAATAATACAGCATGGAAATAGGCCCTTCAGTCCAAACTGTTCCATGCTGACCATGGTGCCCACTCAGCTCGTTTCAATTGCCTGAATTTGGTCCATATCCCTCCAAATCCTCCCCGTTCAATGTACCTATCCAAATGTTTTTTTAAACTGTTGCTATTGTACCTGCCTCAATCACTTTCTCTGGCAGCCCATTCCATATACACATTACTCTGCATGAAAAAGCTGCCCCTCAGGTCCATTTTAAATCTTCCCCCTCTCACCTTAAACCTATGTCCTCTCGTTTTCAATTTCCCATCACTGGGAAAAAGATTATATGCATTCATGCTTTCTATGTCCCTCGTGATTTTATACACCTCAATAAGGTCACCCCTCAATCTCCTACATTGCAAGGAAAAAAGTCCTATACTGGCCAATCTCACCCTGTAACTCAGGCCTACTAGTCCTGGCAACATCCTCATAAATCTTCTTTGCACACTTTCCAGTTTAACTATGTCTTTCCTATAACAGGGTGATCAAAACTGTACACAATACTCCAAGTGCAGCCTGACCAAAGACTTATACAACTGTAACAATAACGTCCCAACTCCTATACCCAATGCATCGACCGATGAAGGCGAGCACGCCAAATGCCTTCACCAGTCTACCTGCGACACCACTTTCAACAAACTATGTACTTGTACTCCTAGGTCACTCTGTTCCACAACATTCCTCAGGAGCTACCATTTACTGTATAAGCCCTACCTTGGTTTGACTTTCCAAAGTGCAAAACCTCACACTTATCTGCATTGAATCGCATTTGCCAATCCTCAGCCCACTTCCCGACCTGATCAAGATCCCTCTGTAATTTTTGATAACCTTCTTCTCTATTAACTATACCTCCTAATTTTGTATCATCCGCAAACTTACTAATCATGCCTTGAACATTCACATCCGGATCATTTATATAAATAACAAATAACAAAGGTCCCAGCAACAACCCCAGCGGCACACCACTAGTCTCAGGTCTCCAGACCGAGAAACAGCCTTCGACCATCACCCTTTGCTTCCTACCATTTTGCCAATTTTGAATCCAAATAGCTAGCTCTCACTGGATCCCATGCGACCTAACCTTCACGACTAGCCTGTCGTGTGGGACCTTGTCAAAGGCCTTACTAAAGTCCATACGGACAACATCCACTGCCCTATCCTCATCTATCCTCTTGGTTACTTCTCCGGCAAACTCTAAGAGATTTGTCAGATGTGACTTCCCATGCACAAATCTATGATGACTACCCCTAATCAGATCCATCTCATACCCTCTTTTTGCTCTTCTGATTTTCCTCTTAAGGGTGCTCCTACACTTTTTATAGTCATCTAGGGATTCACGAGCCTGAAAGCTTAAACCCAGTGTATGCTTTTTCTTTTCACTGACCAGAGCCTCAATATCCCTCGTCAACCAGAGATCCCTAAACCTGCCAGCTTTTCCCTTCACCCTAACAGGGACATACTGTCCCTGGACTCTTGATGTCACACTTTGAACAGCCTTCCATTCGCCAGTCATTCCTTTTCCTTCAAACAGACTTTGCCTTCAAATAAACTCACCTAATCAACTGCTGCTAGATCCCGCCTAGTGGCCCCAAAACTGGCCCTGCTCCAATTTAGCACCTTAACGTGTGGACTTGTCTAATCTTTCTCTATACCTACATTAAAATAAAGACAGTCATGGTCACTGGACCCAAAGCGTTCTCCAACCAGCACTTCAGTCACTTGCCCAACCTCTTTTCCGAGGAGGAGGTCCAGTGCAGCACCCTCCCGAATAGGGCCCTCTATATATTGATTTAGGAACCTTTCTTGGACATATTTGACAAATTCCACCCTATCTGGGCCTTTTACAATCTGGGTGACCCGTCAATACAGGAGGAATTAAAATCTTCAACTAATACTACCCTGTTATTCCTACAAGTATCTACAATCTCTCTACACATCTACTCCTCTAGTACCCGCTGGCTATTTGAGGGTCTATTATACAGTCCCAACAGACTGACCATCCCCTTCTTGTTTCTGAATTCTAACCATACAGCCTCATTTGAAGACCCCTTAAGAATATCCCCTCTAAGCATTGTTGTTATGTTTTCCTTCAGTAAAAGGGGAACTCCCACTCCTCGCTTACTTGTACTTCTGTCACACCTGCAGTTTCTGTATCCAGGAACATTGAGCCGACAACGTATGTGACAATGGATGAATGGACACCACCGAACAGAGGCCAAACAGGAATGTTCCATCCCAGCGGGGGAGCACATCAGCGGTCAAGGACATTCGGCCTCAGAACTTCAAGTAAACGTCCCACGCACACAGTCACATTCTCTCTCTCGCTCACACACACACACACACATTCTCTCTCTCGCTCACACACACACACACATATTCTCTCTCTCGCTCACACACACACACACATATTCTCTCTCTCGCTCACACACACACACACATTCTCTCTCTCGCTCACACACACACACACATTCTCTCTCTCGCTCACACACA